CAACTTTACAACGATGGGAAAGAGGTTCAAGCTTAGCAGATAGTCCAGGTCCAACAACATTTACAATGCGTTTTTGGACCTTGTCAAGAAGAGAAAGTGAATCGTTAGAAGAACCAGCCCAAATATGACAACAGTATTCCATACAGGGACGAATAAGAGATTTGTAGAGGTAGAGAATGGAATCAGAAGTAAGGAAATGGCGAGCACGATAAAGAGAAGCAACCTTAGCAGAAGCTAATTTAGCAATCGATTGTATATATGGTTTCCATGAAAGGTCAGTAGTAAGCGATAATCCAAGAAGACGTAAAGAGCAGGACTCAGTAAGAGGATTGCCATTCATTAATATAGGAATGTTGACCATACTACGGTAGTTGATTGCAGTAAGCAATTGGGTTTTTTTAGAGTTGAAATTCACAAGCCACTGTGAACCCCAATCTATTACTGAAGTGAGATCAGATTCAAGATCAGCTGCTTGTTCGAGGCGATCGAAAAGAGAAGACTTTTTGTCAAGACAGGAGTATAAAGTTGAGTCATCAGCAAAAAGAGCTACTTTAGATGAAAGGTTGTCAGGAAGATCGTTTTAATAAGTTCAATACTAATTAATAAGTTCAATACTTTTGCAATTCTTTTGTAACGTCTCTCTAAAAATCTAACTTCTAATAATAGATATAGAAAATCCTTGATAATGTAATGTAAGTGATGTAACATAAGTTAAATATATAGTATAAAAAAAAAAGTTTATTTTCGTTAGCTGGTCACCTCTAATAAATTTTTATATATTTTTTAAATTGGTATAGAATTCTCAACATTTTGTGAAAGTTTCTAATACAAATCACTTTACTGATTCGCAGAAGTCTGACCTAAAAGTTGAAGCAATTTTTTAACCTTGCTTTCTCCTAAGAACTAGTAATATTGTTCCATAAAAGTTTTTCATAGTGTTCTGTTGTGAGTTGGTAGAAGTTATTTGTTTTATCAGCAAAAACCAAAATATTAGGGTTTGATTTAATTTTTTTAACATCTAACTTTAATTCTGTTTGAAATTTATTTTTTAAAGGGCGAAACCTTATTGCTTTAATTAAGTGCAATAGATCATTTCTTTCTGTGAAAGTTGTATGCTATAAAAATAAATAAAACGGTTAAGCAATTGTTGAAATTAACTATTTATGACACTATTCTGTTTTTACTATTTGTGACACTATCCCTTTTTTTTGTTTACAACACTATTCATTGAATTCATTTGCGACACTATTTCTTTTTAATATATTCATCACTATTTCTGTCACCCATATATATATATATATATATATATATATATATATATATATATATATATATATATATATATATATATATATATATATATATATATATATATATATATATATATATATATATATATATAGTTTCTCTCATTAAGATGTTTTGTTCATTCATTACTATGGTTTTACATTTTGTCATATCAACAATTTTTCCAGTCAATTTGATTGTTTTATTGCTGAAATATTGTAGTTAATTAGATTTTTCTAATTTATTTTTGCGCAAATTTTTCAAATATTTATAACAATTTAAATAAAAATTCTTGAATAATTATAAATAGTTTGCAAATAAGTGCAAAGTTTTAATTAAAAATAAATAAAATTTTGAAGAAATTTTGAAATAATAGAGTGGATTGTTAATTTTGGCCAGAATAATTTTTATAGATTATGAGTTATAGGTCAAAAAAAAGCAATATAATTAGCACATCATAATAATTTTATAAGCAAGAATAAAAAGATTTGTTTCAATAAACATTTTGGTGAATGCATAACTTTAATAGTCAAAAACATAGCTAAGTTGTTTTTTGTTATGCTTTGTAAACTTTCTAATATGTTTTTGTGGCACTTTACAAAACCAGATGGATGGCAAAACTAATCTATGTCATGAAAATTTGCCCCTTTGTGCAGCAGAATCAATAACTTCCTAGAGGATTAATAACAACTAACCAGCAGACTTTAAAACTCCAATACAGAAATATAACAGATTTTAATTCATGCCTTTAACTTTTACCTATAGTACTTAACAACAGAGATGGTACCTCTTGCTCTGTGGAGTAGTTTGGTACTAGCAGATGAACGTCGTGCTCTTGCAAGCAAACTTATTGCAGAAAAGACTGATGATGTTTTGATTATGCCATGGCATAGATTTGGGACAGGATTTGGAATTCAGAGATTTACCACTAACAACATAACAATGTCATTAAGATGAGCAGGTCTTGTTAGATTAGATTTATGGTTTATCTTTCACAACCTTCAGTTGAACTCAGAGTCAAACTTAGCCTCATTTAATGCATCATTAGTCAGCCTGAATGCCATTAACACTGTCAATGACTGAGCTGAGAGAAAAATTCTCAGTGCAAACTTTCTTCTTTAAAAAGAGATTATTGTTCTAATGTTCTGCGATGGTTGGGATAGATCGTCATGCACAGCTGGATCCCCCCATAAACCAAAGAAATGACTTGAATTTAACTTTATTTTGACCAATATCAGTGTAAGAGTGATGTAAACTTCTGTTTGATTCACTTTTTAGAATGTTTTTTCATATTGCTTGTGTTATGAAAATAATAAAGCTATGGATATAATAGTATTGCAGTTTGTATAAAGCATGTTAAAATGATAAAAGTTCAACAATGGCATACCCCAAAAATTTATCCAATTCTTCTGAAACTTTGCCTCAAATTATTTTTTATTATTAGAAAAAAAAAACGAATAGAAGTGATTTAAACAATATAACTTTCTTCAATTCTCTCTAAACTATTTAACAAGTGTTTGACTGAGTCTTGTTTTCCTGCTTGTTGGAAAATGGCATCTGTGGTTCCAATATTCAAAAACTCTGGAGAAAATTCTGACCCCTCCAATTACCGTCCGATCAGTCTTCTTTCTGTTATTAGCAAGGTCTTTGAGTCTTTGATCAACAAATTCCTCACATCTCATCTTGAGTCAAATAAACTGCTGTCAGACAATCAATACGGTTTTCGATCCTCTCGCTCTACGGCCGACTTGCTAACTGCTGTAACTGAAAGATTTTATCGTGCATTAGATGGAGGCGGTGAGGCTAGGGCTATTGCTCTCGACATATCTAAAGCTTTCGACAAAGTTTGGCATGCTGGTCTTCTCCATAAGCTTGCTTCATATGGTGTTTCTGGGAAAGTTTTTGAGATTATCAAATCATTTCTTTCTGACCGGTTTATTAAAGTCATCCTTGAAGGCCAACACTCTTCTTTATTTCACGTAACTTCTGGGGTTCCCCAAGGTTCCATCCTGGGCCCTGTTTTGTTTCTTATCTACATAAACGATCTTCCTGACAACCTTTCATCTAAAGTAGCTCTTTTTGCTGATGACTCTACTTTATACTCCTGTCTTGACAAAAAGTCTTCTCTTTTCGATCGCCTAGAACAAGCAGCTGATCTTGAATCTGATCTCACTTCAGTAATAGATTGGGGTTCACAGTGGCTTGTGAATTTCAACTCTAAAAAAACCCAATTGCTTACTGCAAACAACTACCGTAATATGGTCAACATTCCTATATTAATGAATGGCAATCCTCTTACTGAGTCCTGCTCTTTACGTCTTCTTGGATTATCGCTTACTACTGACCTTTCATGGAAACCATATATACAATCGATTGCTAAATTAGCTTCTGCTAAGGTTGCTTCTCTTTATCGTGCTCGCCATTTCCTTACTTCTGATTCCATTCTCTACCTCTACAAATCTCTTATTCGTCCCTGTATGGAATACTGTTGTCATATTTGGGCTGGTTCTTCTAACGATTCACTTTCTCTTCTTGACAAGGTCCAAAAACGCATTGTAAATGTTGTTGGACCTGGACTATCTGCTAAGCTTGAACCTCTTTCCCATTGTCGCAAAGTTGCATCTCTTTCTCTTTTCTACAGATACTATCATGGTCACTGCTCAAAGGAGTTATCATCTCTAGTTCCATCAACTAAAATTCATTCTCGTTTTACTCGTCATTCAGCTAAGTCTCATTCGTTTACTGTATCTGTCCCTGCATGCTCTAAAAACTTTTATTCATCTAGTTTTTTTCCCCGCACTTCAATCCTTTGGAACTCTCTCCCATCTTCATGTTTTCCTGACTCATACAACCTTCAACTTTTCAAGTCTTCTGTCAACCGTTTCCTTGCTCTATAACTCTGTTCTTTTTTTTCCTAGCAACTCCCAACTTAATAGTGGTTGCTTGCAGCCTTGTTGGGAGTGAATGCAAATAAAAAATATATATATATATATATATATATATATATATATATATATATATATATATATATATATATATATATATATATATATACACACACACACACACACATATGACCAGAATACATATATATTTTTGTGTTTAAAAAATGTTTACCTCTAAATATTGTTTGAATTGCTTTCAAGTCTTTCAAACAAAACTTGTTCCTATACCCAACATAGGGAACCTTTAAAAAAAAAAAATTGAAATTTTTTTTTTTTAAAACGGACCACCCTAATTTACTTATATCTATATATAAATACATCTGCTTAAGTAATTATATCTGTTATATATTTATTATAAATACTACTTATCTTTCTGAATGTACATAAAATATGTCTACTTAGTAGATGTATTATATGTACATTCAGGAAGATATATTTATTATAAGTAGATGTTTTTATATTTATTTTATTATAAATATAATAAATATAAAAACATCTTATAATAAATATAAAGATATTATTTAAAAGTACTATAATTACTTTAAAAAAGTTTTGAAAAAAACTTAAATCTTGATTTATTTATAAATTTTTAAATATTATTTATTTTTTAATATATTATGTAAAAAGTTTATTTTATTATTGTATGCATGTTGTTGTTTTATTTGGTTCTTTTATTAATTTATAATATTTTGTTAGTTTTCTAGATTTAATTTTAAATATTTTATTAGGCATTTAGAATTAATTATTTAATTTTATTAAATTTTTAAGATAGATGGTGAATCATCAAAAATCAGTGATGTTGACAGAGATTTGATAAAAACAAATATTGTCCAATTAATGTTGAATAGTCCATCATCTATTCAAAAGCAATTAAGTGATGCAATTAGTTTTATTGGCAGGGAAGATTTTCCAGAAAAATGGAAAAATTTACTTGGGGTAAATATTTGATTTATTAATTAAAGTTAATTAATTGACTTTATGTGTTTTTACCCACTTATTAACATTTGAAAAGTAATACCTCTTCATTTGAAAAGCATTTTGTAAAATAATTTAAAGAGTGTTTTAGATTTAAGTATTTTAAATTTATTGTTTAAGAAAAAAGATGTAAGTTTAGTTTGTATTTTATTTTTCTTATTTTTAATCCACCTCCCCAAGGCCATGGAGGCCACTGCAGTTGAGGAGGCTACTTTAGTTGTGTTTGCAACCCTCTTTCAAATCTACAACTCCCAAACATGAACCTTGACGAACAAGACCGCTGGGTAAAGAAACAAGTTGAGCGCGGAGACTTAAAAAACTGTAAATTGTGTGAATTGAGAAAGAGTTTTAATGAACAATGTTCAAGAAATAAAAATTGATGAATAAAACTCTATTTAGCACACAGGAACAAATTTTAGTAGATAATTTTTAATTTTTCTAAATGAAAACTTTGCTGAATGAAAAGTTACACATAAATTTTGTGTTTAGTTTTCAGACCAAAATTTGATTGCTAGGTTGAGCAGCAACCATGTTACCTAACCTATTGCAAAGATGATATCAGATGATGCTATCTTTGCAATAGGTTGTATATATAGTTTCATATGAGAGGTCATCAGTAAATAATACAAGGAGACAAAAAAGAGTATATGGAGTGACAACTGTGTTGCCAATCATCAATATATAATGAAAAAAAAAAGTAATCTATCATTATTAGCAGTAAGTAACTGTGTGTTTGGTTTAAAAATCACCAGCCACTGCAACCCCCAGCTGTCACAGAAAAGTCTGGGTGTTATTTATTGTTATTATTCTACAAAATATTGGAGATTTTATTGGTATTGTCATATTATATATGTGGAAAGCCTTTGATTTGAAGAGCATCTAATGCATGATAGAATCTTTTTGTTATAATAAATAACAAAGTCAGCAATAGAACAAGAAAATATTGATTGTCAGAGAGATTAAGATTAAGTAAGAGTTATAGAAGTGTTTAAATGGAAATAAACTAAAATAAGATTGATTTGGATGTGTAAAAATGAATTACTTGTTTTTTGGGTAGAAAATATGAGTGTATGTGGATACACTCATATATTCTCATGAAATTTAAGAAATAATTTAGATGAATGGTTCTTTACAAGTAGTTCTTAGGAGAGGTAATCAGATCCATTTATGAGAGGAGGAATTTTAGGCTTGCCTTTATTGATTAATTACATTCTAAGAGTCTTTTGAAATTTTCACAAAGTCTTTTGGACCTAACATCTGTGATAAAAAACAAGATTTAGTTTAATCTGAGAATATTTAGTGTCAGACTACTTTTTTGCATTAACTTCATGCAATAATAAAAAAATGTTTTTCAAGAGAGTTGTTCTTGTAAAAAAAATGATTTTGATTAAAAATAACACCTGTACAAGAAAGAGAAAAGCATCATGTAGAATGAAGTTTGACTTTTATTCCTGCTTTTATTCCTGCCTGAACCTAAGAAATTGTAAAGGAGGCACAATTCTCATTAAAGAGATGAAAGACATTGGCTCAAGGACCATCACTAAGAAAATCCAGAAACAAATCCCAGTCAGCTTTAAGATAGTAAAAGAAATACATGATAAACATTTTAGAGAGATCATAAAATTATCTGAACCATCTGATAGAAAACAAGGTAAAACTCAGCATAAGCTCAATGATGAGTCACAAATGGGGTGGAAGTAAGTGATTAGATCTGAATTAGTAAGTGACCGGTGTTGATATTTGACCGGGGCCAGATTTGATAAAATATAATCAGGGCTAGGGCCAGGTTTGTGACCAATGCTGCATAAGCATTTATAAATATTGAAGTATTTTTCTTTTAATTCAAAATTCATGTTATATTTTGTATATATGTGCATATTAAACATCATAATGATCAACATGATCATTATTACCATCATCATTATTATCATCATCATCAGGTTTAGCCTTCCTCTTTTATGCTGTTTTTCTACTGTAAACAATCTAGAGCATTTTCTTTTCTTTACTCATTCATAAAAAATATAAAGCTCATTCATACAATATGTAAGGCACTCTTTTTTCTTACTTATAGTAGTTTTCTTACTTCTACCACAACATACTTCTCCTGAAGCTGCTAGCTCTCTACATGCTAATACCTAAATCACTTTTTATCTTGTGTATGCCAGCATCAAAATAAATAGCAAACATATAAGTTTATATCCATAATATAAATGCATAAAGCGCATCTTAAAAGCTTTTATTCAATCCGGAATAAAAGTTTGAAAGCTTTTATTCCTTCTTTTTAATTTTAAATTAAACCTCATTCTACTCCACATTTTTCACTGTCTTGAGCAGTTGCTTTATTAAAAATTAATCGTTTAATAAAGCAACATTTTATTATTCCAAGAAACCAATGTAAAATGGTCCTGTCTGATGTTAAGCTCTTTTATTCTCAGTTTACTAAATCTTGTATCTTATATCAGATGTTATGTTCTAGAGACTTTTATTTAGTTTTCAATGTTAACTTAAGTAAGTCTAACATTTAATCTTGAATTCATGGTTCTATTTTTTTTTTACCTCCCCAGAATAAAGCAGAGTTGTTTGCGAAAAAATTTTACTCTAATTTGACTCTTGAATCTAATAACCATACTCTTCCTGCCAATTAAACAGATTAACCCATTGTTAAACATCCAAATTGCTCTAGCTTCCAATGCTAAAGTTAATTCTCAAATAAACACTTCTACAGTTTGTGCTCCAATTTCCATCATAGCTTTAATAAAGTGTTCTCTAGAACTCTCTTCAATTTTTGCTAAATTTTTTAAAAAGTGCAACCTTCTTACTCTCAGACAAAGTTTAAAAGCAAATTGTAAATGTAATTAGATCTGCTTTATCTGACAAACTTGAGCCACTTTCCCATTGTTGTAAGGTTGCATTTCTTTCTTTCTTCTACAAATACTATCATGGTCAATGCTCAAACAAACTATTACCTCTATTACGATAAACCAAAACTTATTTTTCTTGGTTTCCTATTCCACGCATTGCATTCTTTTACTGTATTTGTCCCTTCATGCTATAAAAACTTTTATTAATCCAGTTTTTTTGCTTGCACATCAAAAAAACCTTATAACTCTTACCCACCTTTATGTTTTCCTTTTTAATACAACCTACAACTTTAGTTAACGTCTTCAGTTAACTATTTCCTAATATTTTAACTTATTCTCTATTTTAAAGTAACTCATTACTTAATAGTGGTTGCTTGCTATCTTGTTGGAAGTAAATTAGAATTCATTATTGTAAATATAAGAATTTGCTAATTTGGAAAGTTCAGCTTCAAGTTTTCCTGAATCTTCATTATTTTTCAGTTTTTTTTTGAAGAGAGCGATTTGAAAGAAGAGTAAATATCAGTTTGAAAATTAGTTTGAAAGAAGAGTAAATATCAGTAAGTTTAAGATATTTTGGTGAAATTTTTAAGGATGTCTATTTACCATTTTTAAGGATGTCTATTTAATCATCAGAGAATTTATACGAAGAGAAATTAGTTATGATACCTGAAACATTAAAAGGATTTGTATGACCAGTTGTTAATCTTTTTAATTTCTTCTCATGTATTTTTATATTTTATCTTTTTCTTTTTGTGTATTAGATCTTAGCGCCTTAAATAAAAATTATTTATAAAATTATTAATGACAAAACAAAATTTAAGCAACTTAAGAAAGATGTTACCATATATATATATATATATATATATATATATATATATATATATATATATATATATATATATATAATATATATATATATATATATATCAGGCTTGGTCGGGAAGCGGGTGCGATCACACTCGATATTTGACCACGGAAATTATATTTAGTTGCGAAAAGCCAGCCAGATTTTCAGGCGTTTTGATAACATTTAAGTTTATGTATGTTTCCTTGTTTGTCCGAAAAATAATAATTAAGTTCATTATTTTATCGCAAGTTTTGTTTTACGGACGTACATGGAAACTTATATAAACGAATGTTGTCAAACATCTTAGTGTGGAAATATAAATAAAGAACATGCGCGAACACAAAAAACCCGCCAAATCTAAGAACAACTAATGTTATTGGCTCAAAAAATACTAACTGAAATTACAAGAGAATTCAAGCGAATGTTCTAGAGTATTCTGTTGAATTATTTTTTAAAATCGTATAATTTGAGTTTTGTTATGTTTTCGTTGAGATTTCTAGCATAAATTGTTTTACGAATATACTATCAAACAAACTATTATTTTAATACAATGGCTCGTTCTCGGTGTCACATCTACAAAGCTATAAATGTTTTAAACCAACATTTGTTTACAAAAATAAATGTTTTAAGTTTATATTTTTTAACTTGTCAACGTTTTGTAAATATATTATAGATTTAATTAGTATAATCTTATTTTTTATTTATAAGGGATGTATTTTTTATGTATGTAATGTATTTTTATGTATGTAATTTTATGTGTGTATTTTGTTCATATGTAATTTTTTAAACTAATATGGCGATTGATTTTGTAAACAAAAACACTTTCAATAATAACTGCGTTTTTAATGAAATTATTTATAATTATCAAAGTAAATACAAATAATTATGAAATAAACATACAAGAAGTTTAAAAATTAATAATCATCAAAAATGGCTATGTGGCATACTCGGTTTTAGAGCCATTTCATAGGCAGTTCTTAACATTTTTGATAACGCATCGCGGTTGTCTTGTGGTACCGAGTTTTCTATATCGAGTTCGGTGACTCGACTACTTTCAGGATCTTCAGAGTACCCATTTTCAATTTGTACCGCTAACCTATGAGTTGGTCCTTTAAGATGGCGATCAACCTTTATCATCATTTAAAAAAAAATCATGATTAATATTAATAATTTAAAAAAAAGTTGGTTCATAACGTAGTATAATATCTCAAAAAATAATATCACGGCACATTAAATAATACTTAATATATAATACTAATGAAAGATAGTAAAATAACTATATTTATAAGTAAACAATGATGGGCAAATAAAAGTTAAGTAAATCATTTTAATTTTACCTGATATTTTGTCACCACACAAGTTCCATCTGTAAACGAATAATTCAATGCTCCTTTAACTAAAGGATCTTGTAAAATAGCTTACACCATACTTTAAACACTAATCCATTTTCCTCAGTGTACCCGATAACTGATTCTTTCCCCCAAGAAAGAAAAAAACTTTTTAAGTTCTTAGAAATTGGTTTATTAACTTCAATTATTTTTGCTTCAGCCATTCTTACAAACTCGTTTTACTTATACTTAAAGTTACTTTTTTCTGTTTTAAATACTAGTTAAAGATATAAAGCCCACTCACTAAACATCATCAGCGGTATTGTTAAGCAGTTCCGCTTCCTCCTTACAAAGTAATTTAACGTTATTAGTAAATTTCTATCTAGCTAATCAAATTTCCACAGTAACTAAATGATTTAGTTATTTCATTTGTTCATCTTACTAAGAAGAATTATTTCAAATGTGTTAAACTTTTTAAACTTCGCGAAGCATAAAACAGGTACTGAAAAAACTTTTTTTATTTATAAATAAATTATGTAGCGTTAGTTTTATTGGTTAAATCTTGTTGGACTTTTCAGGGCCGGGGGCTGCATTATTTCCAGCTTATTTCATTATTTCCCCACTTATTTCCAGCACTGGAAATAAGAGATAAGTATATAAATAAAAGTTATATATAATCTTTGATAAATTGAAGAACATTTGTTTCTTTATTAAACAATCATTATTAGTAAGTTGTTTCTATTTATAAAAAATGTCGCTTTTTTTTAAAAAAAAAATTTATAAAAATGCGACGTTTCAAAAATATTTGCTCTAATATAATTTATTCTGCATAAAGTTTTTTCGCGTTAAAAGCTATTTTTCTTTTTTTAACTATCTCTCATCGGTCCAGTTAATCTTATTGCGCTTTTTTGCTTGTTTTTGAAATGTTCTCAAAACGCCTAAAAAATCTGGCCGACTTTTCGCAACTAAATATAATTTCCGTGGTCAAATATCGAGTGCGATCGCACCCGCTTTCTGACCAAGCCTGATATATATATATATATATATATATATATATATATATATATATATATATATATATATATATATATATATATATATATATATATATATATATATATATATATATATATATATATATGACAGTATTTAATAAATAGTAAATGTAAGCATAAATTTATAATATATAAAGTATTATAATTTTTTTTCTAGCACGGCTATCAACCACTGCTAAATCTTATAGTTTTGCCTGGGCCAGGTTTGAAAAAAGTCTCAGTTTTAGCTGGGGCCTTGGTCCATTACTAGTTGCAGCAGCAAATTTTTTGTTTGTTCCATCGTTTTGTTCTTCACTCATAAGTGCTCTTGCTTGCGCAAGTACTTGTTTAGTAAGATCATCCATATGAAAACTTGATCTCAGCATCCGTCAAACTTTCTCAGGGAGCCCAGAAATAAAGACAAATAAAATTGCTCTGTTTGGTAGCCCACTAATTAGCATAGATGATTTTCGCATTCTCGCCAAATAAACATTAACTGCCTCTCCATGCTTTAGCTTTCTTATAATGAACTGTTCATAAACTGAGTTTTTTTGTAAATTGACGTATCTGCTTGGCAAGAGTAGAATTGGCTTTAACATCGGTAACTAGCTTGATATCAATTCCATCATCATTATTTGTGCTTTATCTTTAATCAGCGAGGAAGTTACTCTACAATTTTTAATTTTCTTTAAAATAGTTCAAATTGTTTTATCTACATATATATATATATATATATATATATATATATATATATATATATATATATATATATATATATATATATATATATATATATATATTTATTTATTTATTTATTTATTTACGTGTAAATGTATCTATGTATTTAATATTGTTTGTTTATATGTATGTGTTTGTATAGACATATTTAAAAATATTTATAATTAAAATTTTTACATTTAAATTCTTTAAGGATCTTACTCATTATATGAAAGTTAGTGATATAATGGATCTACACATAATAAATGGAGTTCTTCAAACAGCACATTCTTTATTTAAAAGGTTATTTTTAATGTCATTCTTTTATAGGTTTGGTTTTTATATTTTACTATATAATTAATGTATATTTTCAGTTATAGCTTTATTTTTGTTTTAGTTTTTGTATTTTGTTTCGAAATGTATATATTTTTTGACAACTTCAAAAAAAAAAAAATTAAAACTGTTCAGTTGTTATTTAAAATGTTGGTTTTATAGTCAGCACTTTTAATCAAACAAAGCAAGTATAATTTTAAAATATGGAAATTATTTACATGTTGAATAATTCCACATAAAAGTGTCAATTAAATTTGTAGCAACCATAGTGTAGTGGTTATAGTTCAGCCTTCAGAAGTGGTTATAGTTCAGCCTTCAGGTCTGTGGTTTGAAGCTGACTCAGGCCATATATACATCATTGGTAAGGAAGGAGAAATGAATTTCATGGTTAAATGCTATTTCATGGTGCTCTGTGATAAGACCATTACTACTGCTTGGAGCACCTAAATAGCTGATTTAAAAAAAGATTATAATTTTTAGGTTGTATATAAGTATCACTTAAAATGATATGACTTAATGGAGTTCAATCCAAAAATATTTTTACTATTATCATGTGATAAAATTTTATTGTAATTGATTTTTTGTAATGGCTGAAATTTTAAAGACTAATGTTTTTAAGGATTTTTAAATTTTTTTTTCCATAAAAACACCTTCCAAAGCTTTAACAAGGGCTCCAACTGCAAAACAACAAGGGCTACTGCAGTATTGGAGACTATTTTTTAATTTTTATATTATAACTTTATTTTATATTGAAACTCTCTTTCAACCCAAAACTGAGTTTTCCACAGATGTTTTGTGGATTTTTTTTTCTCTGCATAAAGAAACAGGTTGAGTGAGAAATCTCCAGAGGTATACTGTGGAGAAATATTTAGGTTGAGTGAGAAACTTCCAGAGGTGTTCTGTGGATTTGAACCTTAAACCTCTTGATAGTAAGTGTTCAGCTACTAATCTAGTAGTCTGTATATAATAAGAATAATAAGTAGAGTATAAGTTTTACTTTTAGAGTTGAGATGTATTTGAATACTTTTGCTGATTCTGTTAACTTTAAGAGATGAGATGTATTTTTATATATGCTTCATTGACAATTGATTGACATTCTGATCTGCAATACAAAGCTAACTTTGTCAAAGTATTTTTTAGTCAAAAATACTTTGATAATGTTAGCTTTGTATTGAAGAAAATAAAAGCTGGACAAATGTATTTAGTTTGGATATAGTTTCAAATAAAATAATTTATATAAAATAAATTGTTTAAAAAAAGTTTCAAAAAAATTTATTTTGGACATTATGTGCTTTCATGATAAGGACTTAAATTTTATAGTTATAATAACTTATAAAATATGGTAGACACCATAAATATTGAACTTATAAAAATTGTCTCAAAAAAAATGCTGTTTTAAAAAGTTTTTCAAGAACCTTAATTGTTATTGGTTTCTATAATAATTTTATAGATATGAATATAAACAAATTTTGAAACTAAAATTTTTAGAATTTTTTTTTTCTCTTTTTATCCTTACCTTTATCTCTCGCCCTTTTTTACTATCAAAAAATGATTTAATCAAATGTTCAAACAATTTGTTTTGTTTTTATTTTTGTTTAATTTTTTTTAATGATTTTTGGCAACTTCACTTCTTTTGAGATCTAGATTGGCATACTTTTAAAAAATGTATATATGAAAAAATTTTCTAGTTTATCACAATTAACCAAAAAATTAAGAAGGTGGAGGCCTGGGAGCAAAAAAGACTCTCGCTTGGGCAAAGGAAAGGAAGCGTTTTAGGGCTTTTTTTGTTCCCAGGCCTCTGCCATCCCGTTTTTTTGCGAGGCCTCCTCATTTGGCATAGTTATACTTGAGTTTTAGAACTTGCACAATGTACACACCTTTAGCATAGGCATACTTATGTTTGGAGCTTGTGCAAGCTCCAAATTAAGCATACCTATGCCAAATGTGTGAAAGTGTCCTATCTAGAACATCAAAAAATATTGTGGGCACACATGCCACCTCTTATATACTGGCCCTGAGTAAGGCGTATTTCAGGCAGTCTTTTTTTTGAGTCAACAAAAAACAGGTTTTAGCAGTGCCGTGGCTAATGGGTCGGATGCCCCCCAAAAAAATGTGTCATTTTGGTCTCAAAATCTCCCAAATTTTACCGCTAGGTTTTGCTAAAATAAAAAACTCCTTAAGTTAACAAAAGGACACAAAATTTTTTGCCGCTTTTCCCCTCTCCCAAATTAAGGGGTACGAGTAGTCTGTCCTCGGCACTGGGTTTTAGGCTTTGTTTTCGATATTACTGATCTCGCGTAGGACTCGTTTTTAACGGACTTACTAAGTAGGGGTGTCAAAAAAAAAAAGTCTGCCTTAAGTATAGTTTATTTTTATTTGATTTGTCATTAAAACAAAAAGAGTACAGTTTAACACGACCGGGGATCGAACATGGATCTCTGTCTCCTCATACCGGAGCACTAACCGCTCAACCAAGCGAATACACTGTTTACATAAAATTTAACTATATTAAAATTAATATTTAAAGAGGTTTTTTAAATTTGGATCCTGTGCACAGAATCTGAATTTTAATTTCGGGCACATGTTCCGCAAACAAAGAGCTTTTGGGTTAAATAAAGCATCTAAGGTACCTCCTCCACCTTTTTTTTTTTCCATAAACTTATTAATTAAAAAAAAAAGTTAAGGTGGAAGGGGATTTCAAAGATTTATGTACTTTTTAAGGGAAGAGGACTTGAAAGTACGCATGGCAACAGGGGAGGGAGGGGGTCAGATTTCAAAATTTTTGGCGTACGTACTTTATGGACGACCCTTTAGGGTAAAATCTACTTTTACTATTTAAATTTTAAAAACCTATCTATTTATAAAGTTAAATAAGTTAACAACTCATTTAACCAGGTTATTTAAACTCATTTAACCAGATATATTTTGGGGTTTAAACCTTGTTGGATCCATGGTACAGTAGTGTAAAACTTGAAGATGTAACTCTGTCAATGTTGGATATATATTTTTCTTGTATATTTTCATTATAAGAAATATTAATAAAGAAAAAAAAAAAATTTTAATTAAATAAAAATAAATAGCATAATCAAATAAAAGTCTATTTTAAAAGTTAAAAAAATAATGCATTGCTTTTTTTCTAAAAACAAACAGACAAATCAAGAAAAATTAACACGAAGAAAAAACATTAACCCCTTAAACTTTAAAGTTAATTTTATATTGTGTCAAAAGTACATTGTTTTGAGCTTTTCAAAAAAGCTCAACTCAGTCTTTATCTCACTATTGATTGGGTTGCTTTGTTTATTTTTTTTAGTTTATTTATTTTAAATTTTAAGTGAAGTATCAAGTACATATTGCATTTTAAAAACAAGTATTTTAAAGACATGAGTGTTTTTTTACAAAGCTTTATAACAGAAATATAGATTTTTTTCAACTATATAATATTTAATTTGCTGTTAAAAAAAAAAAAAAAAAAAAAAAATTCTTCTATGAAAATAGCAAGCATTGTATTTTACATATTTTTTATGATCTCTGTTAGTGAATACTGTTATTTAAGAATCACTATGGCAACCTTTTTTTTTTAATTGTATTTTAGATTTCGTTATGAATTTAAATCTCAAGACCTTTGGGTTGAGTTAAAGTTTGTTTTGGATAATTTTGCCTCTCCTCTTCTTGATTTATTTGAAGCAATGATATGTCGTATATCAAGTTTGTTAAATAATCAAAAAGAACTCAGCATGATATTTGATATACTGACAGTTATTTGTAAATTATTCTATACTCTTAATTATCAGGTAATTTTTGTGTTAACTTTTTAAAATATTTTGAAGTTACAAATATTTTAAAATATTTTGAGATTTAAATTACTTTAATGTATTTAAAAGATTTTTAAAACTTTTTACAGGATTTACCAGAGTTCTTTGAAGATAACATGAAACGATGGATGGAACCATTTCATATGCTCATTGTGACGCCTTTTGATATACTTGTTGATAAAGTAAGTATTTAAACAACTTTGACTTGGTGAGATTACTCTGCGATTAAGTAGAAAAAATCTTATTTTTATTTCAAACTTCTTTTAACGATTTCTAGGACTCGGACGAACCAGGTCCTTTGGAAAAAATTCGCTCACAGATTTGTGATAATGTTGCACTTTATGCTCAAAAATACGATGAAGAATTTCAAGTAAATAATTTATTTAAGCTCAATTTAGTTATCTTTCAACATTCGTTTATTTTTTTGGTGTTGATTTTGATTGTTGTTTTGAAGTTGATAAATTGAGTTGTTAATTTAAAAATTCTTTTAATATTTAAGTGTTTTTTTAATATTTAAGCGTTTTTTTTTAATATTTAAGTGTTTTTTTAATATTCAAGTATTAGTGTTTTTTTAATAAAGTATTCATATTTTTTTTTATATTTAAGTATAATGTTTTTCAGGGTTTTTATTTTACCAAACTTTAATATTTAAGTACATATTCATGTTTTTTAGGCTTTCTTACCAAGTTTTAACATTTAAGTATTCATAGTTTTCCTGCTTTCTTACCAAATTTTAATATTTAAGTATTCATATTTTTCAGGCTTTCTTACCTAATTTTAATGTTACCGAGTTTTAATGGTTAAGTATTTGTGTTTTTTAGGCTTTCTTACCAAATTTTGTTCAAGCTATATGGAACTTGTTAACCTCAACTGGAAGTAATGTTAAATTTGATATGGTAATTGTTAGAATTGTATTTATTTTATGATATTTATTTTTAATTTTTTTAATAAATTTTGTGACTATTGAATACACAATAAATAACTTTTCAATAAATTTTTTTTAAAGCTTGTTAGTAATGCAATACAGTTTCTTGCTTCTGTGTGTGAACGACCTCACTACAAAGATTTGTTTTCTTCACCAGGCACTTTACAGAGTATTTGTCAAAATGTGATTGTTCCAAATATGTTGTTTCGTGAAGCAGATGAAGAATTGTTTGAAGATAATCCTGAAGAATACATTCGTAAAGATATAGAAGGTTCTGATCTTGATACACGAAGAAGATCAGCATCGGATTTAGTTAGAGGCCTGTGTAAATTTTATGAAAAGGAAGTTACAGATATTTTTTCGCAATATGTAAATGCCATGCTTCAGCAGTATGTACAAAATAAAAATTGGAAATCTAAAGATGCTGCGATATATATTGTTACTTCCATAGCGGCAAAGAAATCAACATCAAAGCATGGTACTACAGATACTAATTCACTTGTTAACTTAGATGGATTTTTTAATGAACAAATTGCACCAGATTTAGTTTCAAGTAATATTGATGAGTATCCAGTGTTGAAGGCTGATGCTGTGAAATATGTAATTACATTTAGAAATATTGTAAGTTAAAGTTTTATTATATTGTATGTTTTTTTTTTCTTAATTTTTTTTATAATTTTGTTTTAGTTTATCAGTTAATGAAATAATAATTGTTTTTCGATGGCAATTTTTATCTTTTATGTCATCAAGAGACCTGTTTTATAGTTGTTTTTTAATAACAATTTTTATCTTTTAAATTATCAAGAGACCTGTTGTATAGTTGTTTTTCAGTGACAATTTTTATCTTTTAAGTTATCAAGAGACCTGTTGTATAGCTGCTTTCCACCACTAACAAGACTGCTAACTTCAAAAAGTAAAGTGGTTCATAGCTATGCAGCTAATGCTATTGAAAGATTACTCACTATTAAGAGTTCAGCTGGAGTGCCTGCGTAATAATTTTTTTATTAAATAATAATGAACAATAAATTATGTTTCAGCTAAAAGTAAGAGTTAATATTTTGGAATCTCATATGAATTTATATCTTTCTTTATATATATATATATATAATATATATATATATATATATATATATATATATATATATATATATATATATATATATATATATATATATATATATATATATATATATATATATATATATATATATATATCTTTTTATTACTACACATCTTTTAGGGCCTAAAAATGTTGAAAAATTTTTAAAACCACCATATTTTTAAAAAATTAATGAATAATTGATTTTAGATTGCTTTTTATTTTTATAGTTTTACTGGCAATGATCTTATGCCTTACAGAGATGCTCTCTTTATGAATCTATTTTTGGTACTAGAAACTCCAGGATCTTTAGAAAACGAGTATGCCATAAAAGGTTTAAAAATTTTTTTTAAATATTTTTTATTTGAGAAAATGTTTAAGCAGTAAAAATAAAATTTTTGATAATGAAAATTTTTCAAAAAATAAGTATGTAATTTGATTTTATTTTAAACAAATATTTTATGTATGAGTTTTATATATATTCTTAAATGTTTTTGAGGTAGTTAATAATAGTCAGTAACAATATTAATTTTTATTAGCTATAATGCGTGTATGTACAGTTGTTCAAGAAGGAATTGCACCATTAGTCCCTGTTATAATATCAAAACTTTCCGAAAAACTTAAAGAAGTTTGTAAGGTATGCTTTTTAATACAAATTTTAGTTTTTGTTAAAGTTTTACAATTATTATGAACTGATTATGAAAACATTGAATTCTTTTGGTGTTATAGAATCCCAGCAAGCCACAGTTCAATCATTATTTGTTTGAAAGTATTTGCTCATTAATCAGGTTTTTAAATTTTTTTATTTATACACTCGGAAATGAGAGATTTTAATGCTTCAACATTTTTTAAAAAATTATTTTTAATATTACTGGTAAATACCAGTAATATTAAAAATACAAACATAAAAATATTTTACAATTTTATTAATTTTAATTTTAGATTGTACAATTTTAAGCTTTTTTAAAATAACTTTTAAGTAACTTTAACAGTCTAAAGAAAATAATCAATGACTTTGCTAATAACAGTAAACTCTTAAAATATTAAATTCAACATAAATTTTTATGTGCACAATTTTTTTGTTGGTGACATTTAGTTTTTCATTAAGGTGTGGTACATTAAAGTTACTCCTTAAAGGGACTACCAAGTCCCGAGACATGTTGTGTTCATATTAAAGAGAATGTTAAAAAAAAATGTCTGAGCAAATTTTTTTTGATTAAAACTAATTAATAAATGTATACCAAGAAAAACAAATCTTGTTGTTTTAGTCGAAGCTCGTCTTCTCCGTTTTCTTTGGTATTTTGAGTATGTAAAATAAACGCGATTTTCCAGGCGCATTATACAGACTTGATAATTTATTCAGGCGCGTTTAATTCATAGGAGTTTTAGAGCATGACGCCATTGGAAAACATTCTAGAAATTCTTTAAAAATTTTACTATTAAATTTTACTATAATAGCTAACTATAGTTACTTATTTTATTAAAAGTTTATTTTATTAATTGTTCGTTATTTTTTTACAAATCTAACAAACAATTAATTAAACCAAGCACTAAGAAAAGATATAAAAATTAAGAATATACTAATAAAGTATATAATTTGTAATTAACATTCAAAATTTTGACAATTTAAAAAATATATATTATAAAACATTTATTTTTTTAAACAAATGATAATAGTTTAAAAGTTTTACGGCTTTACAGATGTGGCTCCGAGAATGAGCCATAATATTAAAGTATATATATATATATATATATATATATATATATATATATATATATATATATATATATATATATATATATATATATATATATATATATATATATACTTATAGTATATATAGTATATATAGTATTAAAAATGAGCCATAATATTAAAATTCATTTGATAATATATTCTTAAAAAAATTTATGCTAGATATCTTGTTAATAATTTTTTTTTTTAATATTTACAAAGTAAATTAATAAAAGTGCATTATTATTTAGGTTAAAAATTATTTTATCTAATATTTTGAAAGAAAAACTTATAACAAAAGAAATCAAATTACACGTGGTCTGGGCGATTATTTAAAATAAGTTGCGCAAATAAAATACTATTTTGTTTTTTATTTTATTTTTGTTTTAATTTTATTTTTGTTTTTAAATTATTTTGTTTTTAATTTTATTTTGTTTTTAATTTTGTTTTACAAACACATTTTAGAACTTTAAAATATAATAAAAATGAATATGATTTGGAAATTGTATGTAAAAAATAACAATCGGTGTTTTAAACAAACAATCTATGACATCATGCTTTAAAACTCCTATGAATTAAACGCGCTTGAATAAATTATCAAGTCTGTATAATGCGCCTAGAAAATCGCGTTTATTTTACATACTCAAAATACCAGAGAAAACGGAGAAGACAAGCTTCAACTAAAACAACAAGGTTTGTTTTTCTTGGTATACATTTATTAATTAGTTTTAATCAAAAAAGATTTGCTCAGACGTTTTTTTTTAACATTCTCTTTAATATGAACACAACATGTCTCAGGACTTGGTAGTCCCTTTAAGAAAGTTAATTTACTATATCCAAACAAATCAATAACCATTAGGCCATCAGCTTTTTCTTATAGTTTATAACAATACAAAGTTTTCTGTAATCTGTTTAACACTAGATGAGCTAAATATAAAGCTAAAAGAACTGATTGTCAATGGTTAGAAGAGTAAAAGTTAGAACAAGAGCTCTTAAATAAATCTTATTTAAGGAACTTTTCTTTGCTTTCAAGAGTACTTATTAACCATTATATCAGGTTTTATTGTGCATTGAAGGAGGCTACAAGGCAAGGGCCATCAACACTGAGATTTAATGAAATGAAACAGCCAAATTTAAGTTATTCAAAGAAAAAGTATGTTTTTTTTTTTGCAAGAACTAACAAAATTAACAAAGAAAAAAGTTACTTTGATGATCACAAATATTTGTCGAGTATGGATTAAATTTTTTTTTTTTTCCGTTTAATATTTTTAGGTATTTTTTTCATTTTAAATTAATACAGTTTGATTCAATAAGTTGACTTATTTTTGCTAACCAATAATAAGTCTTAAGAAAAGGCTTCTTATGTGACTTCAACAATCTGCATCAAAAGATTTAACATGGACACTTTCCATACTTCCATGCGCATTATTAATACTCTTATAATTTAAACCTGTTGATAGAATCATATTCCCTATGAGCTACCACAGAGTTCCAAAAATCTTACTATTATCAAAACAGGTTAACATCATGCAGTAAATCAATTGTAAAAATTAAGTTTTAATATGCAAAAGTAAGTTTTAGGTCTTCCAAAATGCTTTAAAATAGAAAAATGGCAGTATGGAAACCCTTCCAGTAGAACCATATTTAACATTTAAAATAAATATAGGGGGCTGACTTTTCAAAAATCACTTTTTTAAACCATTTTTTTGTTTTTGTTTTTATGCTTTTTGACTTACTACAATAAAAACAGAAATAGAAATGGTTAAACTTACTGCAATAAAAACAGGAATAGAAATGGTTAAACTTACTGCAATAAAAATAGGAATAGAAATGGTAAACGTACTGCAATAAGGACAGGAATAGAAAAAGTTTTTAAATCTCTAAAACCTAAAGTATGTATGTAAATAACTTTTTCTGTAATATCTATTTTAGAGGTCTGGGAAGTGTTAATCAAACTGCTGTATCAACTATAGAGGAAGCTTTGTTTCCTGTTTTTCAAATAATTTTACAGACTGATGTGACAGAGTTTCTTTCTTATGTATTTCAAGTTTTGTCCCTTGCTCTTGAGTTAAGAGGAGAGGGGGTCAAAGGACCTTATATGGACTTATTTCCAATGCTTTTAACCCCAGTATTATGGGAAAGACAAGGTAATAGATATTCTTTATATGTTATGCCCTATTGCATGAAGAGTTAAATGAATATTTTATAAACTAATGTTTTGTATGAAGATATGAAAGTTTATTAAAAGATATAGGTATTAGTGAGATTTTAGCTAATAAGCACCTTACAGGTTAAAATGAAATTCATTAAATCATAGGTGTCAATAAGCTTTTTATAATTATTATTTTTTTAACATTTAGGTAATGTTCCAGCTCTAAGAAAACTTTTACAAGCTTATGTTAAGCGTGGTGCTAAAGAGATAGTTTCCACCGGAACTTTGGTATGTATAAATCTTTATACTTATTAATATATATACATACATACATACATACATACATACAAATATATATATATATATATATATATATATATATATATATATATATATATATATATATATATATATATAATATATATATATATATATATATATATATATAAATCCTAATTTAAGAACATTACTAACATCAAAAAACTAAACTACATATCTCTTTGATTATTTTTATTCAATTAAATAATTTGACTATTATGTGGCAACTTTAGTTGCCACATAATAATTGCCACAACAAATTAAAGAGATATGTAGGCAAAACAAAACTTCAAATAAATACTCAAACTCAATAATATAAAATGTTTAAACAATTGGAAACATCAGTCTGCAATAGCCATCTACAGTAAGTTTTGCTTGGAAGAAATAAAGTGGGAGAATGTTAAAACAATCAGAGTGGAAAGAAAAAAGTTTGATTGTAAAGTTCATGAAGCTCTTGAAATAGAAATGCACCGATGTTCCCCTTTAAATAGTTGAATTAATTTAGATAACAGACAATTTGTTAGAACTAAATTTTGGACTCCATTATTTACATTTCTGCCTAAAAAAGTAAGCCACTTAGTACTGACGTCTGTTAATTCTAAACTGTTTTTAACATTCAAAAAATTTTGTATAATTTGACAAGCTGATAATGCTGGTAACCACAATCCAGTGAAAATTTTTAATAATAAATTAGTAATAATGAATTAAAATTTCTAATAATAAAAAGAGAATCTAAATTATTTGATGTTTTCTTGTTAACATAATGTATAACATAATATAATAGTCTGATAAGAGAAAGATTTGGAAATTAGGGAAGCCAAATCAATCTACTCATTACTTGATTATTCTCTTAAATCAAATAACTTTCTTCTTTTAATGTTAATTTACTTCCCCAAGTCCAAGAAGGCCACTGCAGGTGAGGAAGCTACTTAATTGTGGTTACAAACTTCTCTCAGCTCTATAACTCCAAAACAGGAACCTTGATGAACAAGGCGGCTGTGCAGAGAAACAAGTTGAGTACGGTACTACCAGGGAGTGGTTGGGGATCAAACTTATACAATTCACTATGGTTTCTGAGACCCGATTATTTGGCATAAATTAATAGCTTCAATTTAAACACAAAATAATGATTTTTGTTTCTTAAGATAGGTTATATGTTCTAAATGTGTTATAACTAAATTTTATATAATTAAAAAATATATGTGAATAAATATATTTAATTTGATTAATATATTTAATATATTTATATATATTTAATGTGTAGTTATATTTAATATGTAAAGAAATATCATCAAATGAACAAATGTTCAAAAAATCTATTAAAATATAACTATATTTCACAATCTAATTCAATGAAATCTAAATAGTTAATAAAAATTAAATCCTCATCAGAAGTTTCATCTTCGCAGTCGTCATCGTCGTCACTACCTTCTTCGCTTTTGCTATGTTGATTTTGCGTGGTGTTGGATGGCATTTCTGTTAGTAAACTTATTACTTCAGAAGGGAGTGGAAACTTATGATGTGGACGATGCATTCAAAAAATCGTATCCAAGCATGTAGTGGACTAATGCCATACTGTAAAGTATTAGGTTTAGGCCTAAATAGTTCTGTGATTTTTAAGTCCTGCACTTTAACAAAATCATTCGGAGTAGCTCCACATATCGGACAAGCTTGGTTTGACTTTGTTCCAATTAATATATTTAAAATTTTGCCATCAATTAGCGTCATATATGGTTTGAATTTTTTTATTATCTGACAAAAAAATCGTTATTGGCTCTAACTTATCTATTTGTCCTTCAATATCCTTTTTTTCTTTTAAAATGTGTTTTGTGGATTCTTTTATGTATACATTTTTATATTGTCTACAAAACCGCACAGATTGAGGAGTGCAATTGTTCTATAAGATTTTATTATCTTCTGAATTCAAACAGAGTGGTACAAAAGTTGTCACAAATAAATTTGAATCAGAATGACAGCCAGCAGTATCAAACTTTTGTTTATAGGCTGAATGACCGGAACTGCCGTCAAATCCATAACTAAATATTATCTCGGCAGTAATTTCTTTAGTATTAAGACATTTCTAGACTGTATGTTGGAAAATATCAATTCCTTGTTTATTGACAATTAAAGTCAATAAGTTGACAGGGTGTTTTCTTTATTCTAGACAAATATTCCTAATTTTTATGTCAGTCCTGGATGTTGTCAACCTTTTTCTGCCATAATTGCTTTTAAAAGCAGTTTGTTAAGGATGCCAAAATCAAGTTTTTGCTTATTGCTTGTCTCAGCTATCTTATATTGCGATATGCTTGTATTTTTTAAAAATTCACAAATTTCACATAGTTTTCATGGAAAAATATTACATGCACTCCCCATTAGTTAAAAAAGAAGATAGTATTTAATAAAGTTTTCTACTTATCCATAAAAAAATAATTTTATAACTTTTGTTTAAAAAATGTAAGTATTAAGATTTACACACCTTTGTGATTAATAAAATATACAATGTTAATCACAAAATAAACTTAACAATTAGGTATTCCAATAAACAAATAAACAATTTACACAACCATTCTATGCAACGCCTTGTTCAAACTGACAACATATGGTAAGAATGACAATAAAAAATATGAGCAATATTGCCATTTATGAAATAACATCTTTGGCAATGTTGCCAAAGTAATAATGAACGAGAAAAAAATTATGTGAAGAGCGAAGGCTTTTATTGGTGTTTTGTCTGTTTTTTTACTAAGTCTAGTAATATGGTAAGCCACTGTACATTTTTACTTTTTATAATAAATATTTAACATTTATAACTTGAAAAAAAGAAACAAAAACAGTAAAAAATTTGTAATTTGTTAAAAAAAAATATCCTAGCCCTGGCTAATAACCCCTGCTAGAATTATTGTTTTGTGGAGGCAGGAGTTGTAAAAAAAAACCTATTAGCCCAGGGGCCCAGTCACTTTCTAGTTGGAGGTAATCAAGCCAGAATATGTGACCACTAATGTACCAATGAAAAAAAATAATATAGCTTTTTTTTTCTACATTAAATTTATATGGTTATAGTGGTTGGGTATAGAGTTGATACATAGAATGTTAATTACACTTTTATAATTTTTATAGATGCCTTTGTTAGGAGTGTTTCAAAAGCTTATAGCTTCTCGAACGAATGATCATGAAGGATTTTACATTCTCGGATCAATTGTGGAATATGTTCCATGGGCAGCCATGGAAGCAAATTATAAACAAATATTTATGTTACTTTTTCAACGTCTTCAAACTTCAAAAACAACAAAATATGTTAAAGGTTTTTTGATAATCTATTATTTTGCTTGTTTTTTATTTGCTTTTTTTTTATTTCCAAATATATTTTTTTATAGGTTTTCTTGTTTTTGTTTCCCTGTTTTCTGGCAAACACACCTCTAATGTTCTACAAACAATTATTGATGGAATTCAGCCAAAGTATGGTTTTTATCTTTCTGAAAATGTGTTTTGGAAAAATATTTTTTATTTAATGATGTTATAAAGAAATAACAGATTTTAAAATATTTTTGTAGCAAGAAGAATTAACGTATTTAGTAGAGTAATCCCTAATATTATTAAAATTATTTAATGAATACCTAATATTAAAAGAAATATTTTTTAAATATATCATGTTAGGTCTCATATGAAGCATATTTATTCAAAAAATTTCAAAATAATATTTTTTGTTTTTATATTTTTTTAATATTTAATTTTTTTGTGTTTTTTTTTTTTATGTTTGTGTTTTGTTTTTTTTATGTTTGTGTTTTTTTTGTTTTGGTTTTTTGTTTAATTGTTATACTTTGTTAGACTTTTTGGAATGATGGTTGAGAAGTTATTTGTTGCTGATCTTCAAAAGATAAGTGGCAATATTGAAAGAAAGATTTGTGCAGTTGGTGTGACAAAGATATTAACAGAAGGTGCTTGTTTCTTTAAGAAATTTGTCCTTCTCAAAACAACAGACTTTTTGTATTTAATATTTGTAATAAACTGTAATCTTTTTTATACTTAATATTATATATCTTTTTTATATTTGCAGCACCAGCAATGTTAACAGAGTATCAAGATAAATGGGTACCTTTGTTGCAAGCATTAATAGGATTGTTTGAATTACCAGAAGATGATACTATTCCTGATGATGAACATTTCATAGATGTCGAAGATACTGCAGGTCTAATATTTTTTGTGTAAGAAATTAAATGATGACTACTATTTATAAATCATTAGATTTATAAGATCTAGTGTCATACTGAAATAAGGAGCTGTGGGAGTTTCAGTTCATGCATTTACTGATATAATGAGAACATTCATTCTTATTCTTGTGTTTTGTCTTCTAAGAATTACCTGATAAACAATGTATTGGCTTAACAGAGAATAGAAAAAACTTTTTGCTAATCATAATTGTTTAAAAATAGTTGTTTAAAAGTAATTGTTTAAAAATAAAAGGTATACAAAAGACACTATGCTTTCAAAATACATATGGGAATTAAATGATAAAAAAAATTTATGATTTTATATTGAATTGGTCTATTCTAAAAACAGCACCTGCTTATTATAATATTTCCAAAAAATTTATATTATTTCTACATAGAAATTTAAAATAATTACACATGCAAACCAAGAATGTTTATTAAATAAAAAATCTGAATTGATTTCAAAATAAATAAGTTTCTCTTAAAAAACTATAAAAATAATTGAACTCAAAAAAAAGCATTGGTATCTGAATAGACATCCTTCATCTAAAATGGTCCTGCAAAGTCAACTCCTGTTTTAGCAAAATTGTAGACAAAATCACTGTTTAAACAATAATCAGGAAGAATAGGTGTTTCAGAACTTTTCATAATTTTGCCTTGTGCTTTTTTACAAACAATGCAATGCTTAATTATGGACAAAATCTTTTTTCTACCATCTTGATAACCAATACCTTGATTGTATTTCATTCAAGGTGCTATTTATGCCAGCATGGCTTGTTTTTTCCTGTGCTAGTAGTAATAACTTAGTGAATGTAGAATCGGTCTGAAGATAAATGAATGTTTAGTATCAACTTCCACAAGTACATTAGGTAAATGTTCATGTAATTGTAAAACACCATCACTATCATATTTTAAATTTAAGGATCGGTAAATATCAGAAAATGTTTTAAGATTTTTTGCTAAAAATTGTTCTGTTTTTATCCACATAAGTTCAGCATGCATTATTTCTTCTGCACTAATATAACTATAGTTTGCTTTTTTCTTTGCTTGATTTGATATAACAAATTATTTATAATTCATATCACAAATGAAGTTACTTATAAAAGTTTATTCATTGAACTTAAGTTATCAATTTTTATTACTTCTTGTAAGTTTATAATTACTGCAATTAATACTCCCTCCACGACACTTGTGTATTCAAGCATACTTAAAACTGTAAAATCAAATTAGAATTGATATCATTTATATCACTTTTTTATTTTTTCAACTCTAAATTAATAGAATCCATTAACTCATCTTCGTATATAGTTTTTATAATCCATTCAATAGGATTGTTTCTTAAGAATTCAGATTCATTCCAATAATTTTTATTTCTAAGCATTATATTTAAATCATTATCATATATTTAAAAAATTAGTTGAAATTAATACTTGTTTTCAAATCGTTAAGTTAACATAGTTATGGCTTTTTCATAATTACTTTTCAAAGTTAATCCAGAATTGAAATTGTAGGTACTTCCCTTTAGCAATGTTTTTAGATAAGTAAATTTCTAAATATCACTTAAAGTGATATTTTATTAAATTTTATTATTGCCAATAGTTTTTCGAAACTGTTCCCAAAACCCTCTTTAACTTAAATTGTTACTATCAAGTTTTTCTAACGTGATTTTAGGTATATTTACATTGCTGTTGCATAAGCAAGTCATTTAACTGGATAAATCTTTACTTTTACTTAGTTTCTTTAAAAAATTTTGAGTATGAGAAATTAATAACTGAATCTTGTCGAGAAAATGTGAACTTTTGCTAATTTCAGTATTAATAGCCTCTTCTTCTTTTATCATGGTTAAAATATCATTATCCAGTGTTTATATTAGGTTTAATTTTAAGTTTAGGTTTTCCAAACATGAGTTTAACCTTTCTGCTTTGTTTTTAATTTGTCCAAGCTTTTCTCCTATTCTTGCAACTTGTTGCCGATGTCAACTCCTTATCCTTTTCTTTTTATTTAAGTTCATACTCATTTTAAAATAACTTTCAATCGACCGTGTATATTCTTTTATTGTTGATTTCAACTTAAAAAACTACTAATTCAGCAATAAAAAGGATTCAATTAATTTTAAGGTTCACGCCGGGGTCACCATTTAAAATCAACAATCATTGGGATTTTAATAAATCTAAAAATCAATAAGAACAAATATATCAATAATATAAAATACAACTTATGTTAACGCCATTATACAAACTTTAAAAACTCTCATATAAAAAACGTGCTCATGCACTAAATCATGATGGTCCCATTCTTTCTTGGCATACTTCCTACACATTAATTAGATTACAATAATTAAAATGTAAACATAAATTACTATGACATTTATCTACATGACAACTAACATAAACAATACTAATATACCAAATGAACAATAAAATAAGAACAATATTAATTCACCAAACTACATAAATAATTTCTTACAAAATAAGAAAGCAACTGCAACAAAATTTTAATTTTTCTTTTAATTGAGTTTAACATGTACTTTTGCTTGTGGTATTGGTATAAACATCTTAGATAACCAATTTTAAAAATTGATTTCAAGGGAACTTAAGATTATATTATCATAATGCTTGTTCAATCTAGAAAAGGAACAATTACATATTACAAATAACAATTACATTTTAATTATTTTTAGGTTACCAAACAGCATTTTCTCAGTTAGCATTTGCAAACAAAAAAGACCAAGACCCTTTCCAAGAAATTCCTGATCCAAAGGAATATTTAGCAAAACAATTGTATCGTTTATCACATTCTCAACCTGGCAAGGTTAGTTAATATATTGTTTTTATTTCTTTTATTTGTATCCTTAATGCTAATTACTTTATTTAGTCAATGTTTTTCTACTATCATTTTTATATATATAATATATTAAATAGCAATATAGTAAACAATCAGTTATAGTAAACAATCAGTTATAGTAAACAATCAATTTTTTTTTTTTTTTTTTTTTTTTTTTTTTTTTTTTTTTTGTAAATTTCAAAATTTTTTATCATTTCAAAATTTATTATTTCATTGTTTTTAATTTTGACTTGGTTGACTGTTGGTACTCAAGATTTTATATAGAAATCTTTGAAAAATATATATTTATTATTTTAATTCACCTCCCCAAAGCCATGAAGAACACTAGAGTCGAGGAGACTACTTTAGTTGTGGTTACAACATTCTCTTTACTCTATAACTCTGAAACATGAACTTTAACAAACAAGACAGCTTTGTGGAGAAATAAATTGAGTGCGGTATTACAAGAGAAACGGTGGGGATCGAACTCAGAACTTCTTGTTTATGAGGCAAACGGTCTACCACTACACCACTACTGAATTAAATGCACTTTTTGTTGACTTTACATGTTAAAAGAGGGCATAAACAAAAAATGTCTAAAAGAATGTGTTAAAGTTCGTTTGAGAGTATTTCAAACTAAGACATTAATTTTCATTCTACGTATAAATATTGTTTATTTTAAAATTATTTTTTCTCTTTATTTTTAGATATTTTATTTTTTAACTAAATTGTGACTGAACCTGTGTCCAAACTCAGTTGTTGCTTTTTTTTTTTGAATTGGAATATACATATTAACTAATGTATAATAACATAAAACACAGCTAAAATTAGAAATAATATATAATTTATTCATGATTTTCAAAAGTTAGTTTTTTGAGGCTTTTTGCCCACATGTAGTTCAGATCTAAACCCAATTGAAAATCTATGGAGAATACTTTCTAGAATCAGTCAAATGTCAAGTCGCATATTTGAAGTCATTAAGCACTCAGGAAGCAATGCTAAATATTAAATGAGCATAAAACAAAATATTTTCAGTATTTTCTTGTATATAACGTTTATGAGACAAATTCTGTTTTTTCAACAAATTGAATACTTTTAATTTTTTTTTTTCCATTTTTAATTAATTAAAAATACTAATATTTAAACTTTCTAATTGTAGTAGAAGATAATAAGAAATAAAGTAGATTTAAAAATTGTTTCCTGCCTTTTTTGTTAAATTAGAACGAAAAATAATGGTGAAGCTATTTCTATTTTCTCCATCAACAACAACAAGCTGTTTATTTTCCTCAAATCATTTTTACAATTTTATTAATGATAATAAAAATAATAATGTATAATAATAATATAAGATAACAAAATTAATAGAAATTACAGTAATAGTAATAATAAGTATGTTAAAATAAGGAAATAGGAAAGTGGGGCTTTTAAAAGGAAATTGGAGAAAGAGAGAACATAACAGTTTAGCATCCAAAAAATATTTAATTACAATAAAAAAATAATAATATTATAATGATAGTTATAAGCATAAAATTATTTATAATAATAATTTAATGATTTATTAGGATAGTATATATAAGTTAATGATTTATTAGGATGATATATGGATGGATGGATGGATCACTCATACAGAAACCTGATCAAAGGAGTGACACCAATTTTTAAATATGATATAGATAATAATAAGCTAAGACACATATTGAAACGCATGGACCATAAACACATAGATTAAAGCATATAGAACATACATTAAAAATTAACATGTAGAAATCATAATTTGCCGGTTATAGTATTAAAAAAATAACAAGTACTGGTGATAATTGTAGTAATAACGAAAAGAAAATTAAAATAATATTTTATTAGTAAGGTTAATAATGTCTAAAAGTAAGAATAAAATGTTTTACAGAATTTTTTTAAATTGTTTTTAAGATGAAGAAAAGCTATTTTGGGATGTAGTTTTTTGGACTCTTTGGACTCAATGGGAAACATGCATACAAGTTTCCCATTGCACATATTTCTAGTAGAGTAGAAATGTACTAGTCAACTTTCTGTGAACAAGTTTGTAATGAAAGATGATAAATTTTTATTTAAGGAGTGAAAAACAAAAAGAGGATTTGCATACTTTACTAGCGTTAGAAATGTTGGAATGCTTATTGATGGACTCGTATGTATCTGATTTAATTGGTTGGAAGTTTATTAATCTAGTGGAATGATGCTGAGGCGATAGCAACTTGTTTATGCGATAGTTTCCAACTTTGCTCCAAACTTGACAACAATACCTAAGATTAGATGAGAGTAATGCATAGCAAATATTCCTAAGTGTAACTTTATCGGCATAATGACAAATTATTGAAAGCATACCGTTAGCTTGAGATTGTTTCTTGTTTATTTCATCAATATGAAAGTTCCATGAAAGATTGCAGTCAATTAACACACCAAGATATTCAATAACTCTCGAAAGATATAGCCATTTATTTTTAATTTTGATTTCAACATTTTTTTTAGTGTTAAGACATTAGGTTAGCATTTAACCTGTGAACTATATCTTTTCGATCCAAATTTACATTTTAAATAAAGAATAATACGGTTTGTTGATGTACAAGAGATTTGTATCATCAGTAAACAGAAGAACTGACGAAGTGAACAGAATTGGTCGTTAACGTTTATTAAATAGGTCGTTAGCGTAGATTAAAAATAAAAGAGAATAAAGAACAGAACCTTGAGGAACACCCCACAAAACTGATTTATTACCAGAATTAAAACTCTTAATACTTACAAATAAATGTAAATTAGATTAGTAAACTTAATATTTTCACTGTATATACAGTAATTCAAGTAATTGAAAAAAATGGCTTAATAAAAAAAACAATAAAAGTATAATGTCTAACAATGTGATATATTAAAATAGAAATATTTATTGTTAACTATTTAATCTGTTAAATTAAATTATTTTCTTTGTAATAACAAAATTGTTATTTTGTGTATCATTTTAAAAATGAATAATATATATATAATGATATATAATATATATATAATAGTAATAGAACTTAAGTTAACTGTTTGTTTTTTTTATAAAAACTGGTTTTTATAAAAAAAGATTAATAAAACAAATATTTTTATTTTTAGATATCAGTTTTAATATCGAAAGGTTTAAACCCCGACGCCACAAGGTTTTTGCAGGGATACTTAAGTCGAGCTCAAGTTCAACTTGTCTAAAGTCTTAAATAAAAATGTCCGAATTAAAAATCAACTGCTACTGTTGTATTAGATACATAACATCGCCCCTAATAGTAAATACATACGGAGGCTGTAATCAAACACGCAAGATTTATTCAAAGTGATCAAAAAACTTGTGTTTGCTATTTCATGGTTTTCGAAAAATTGTGTTTAGATGAAATATTTTTTCGTACGTTTTTATGGAGAAACAAATCGAACGTTTAATGTCTGTGAAATGTAGTTTTTAAACATCAACTTAAAACATGTTCCTCAAGAAACTAGGCGATTTTTGTTTCTACCGGGATCAATTAAATTATTAACATCGAAACAATGTATTAATTATACAAATAAATTAGTTTTTTAGTTAATTGTTTCGAAATATTTACTTATTAGGGGATCCAAGTGATAAACTCTGATTTTTGATATTACCAACTGAATTATTTATTAACTGAATTGTGGGTAAAAAAAAAATGTTAGTAATTTTACTGGGGCAGCGTATTTTAGTATTTGAGATTAAGCAACTCCCCAATATTCAAATGTTTCTACTTTATAAAATATGAGCCTTAAGCTAAAGACTGCGATAATTAGAGCCTGGGAATAAAAGAGCACTCAAATGATGACATTCCTTATTCCAAGCGTAAAACCAAGTTAACAAAATATTTTTATGCTATTCTTAACTAAATTTATAACCTATTTATAATATATAGCATCAATAAATTTGTTATACTAAAATAAGTAAGTTCATTTTATTACTAGAATAACTTCTTTCTAGGAAAAAATCTTTGAAAATGTTAAAGTTGTTAAAAGTCATGATAAATCATGTCAATCTGGTATCGTCTATTTTTTTTTAAATCGCTTTTGTCTGGCTGTAGCCTTTTTATAACATAGGACGAGGCAAAACCGTTATTAGCCAAGTTCATTAGACGCGGTCCGCACACTTATGTTTACGAAGTTGGGAAAAAAAATTAAAATGGTAGCTTTTCAGCTTGATAAAGTATCAACTCTTAACATTGATACTTTTTCTGGCTAGATTTTTAAACCGCTTTAATTGTATAGTGCTTTTGCTTTGTCGTTTGTTATGATTTTAAATCAAAAGATTCAAATGTTCAACTCAAATACTATCGTTTACGAGATCAGAAAGTGTACAAAAAACCTAAATAAAGTTGTTTAAAAAAAGCTTATAAAATAAGAGATTTAAATACAAACAATTTGCCACACACGATTATAACGGTTGAACATTAAGAAAAAAGATGCAAAATAACTGACTAGATAAAATAAAACTTGCATAAATCATAAAAACAAAGTGAAATGCTGAAACTAAAACTCAATTCAGCAAAGAGGAAATATGTTTTGTTTCAGCAAAAGAGAAATTATGGTTGTAAAATTATAAAAGCAACCATTCATATATACAAGTTTAAAGATAAAATTTCAAAATTTTAAAATTGCTTTTATCTCGAAAAAATTGAAATGGGAACAAACTTTAATTTTTTTAATAGTTTTAACATAACAAAACCAGATTTTTAATATAACAAAATTAAATAGCAAAACTTGATTCAAGAAAAGTTCAGTTTTTTATTTTCTTTCGATCATACATTGAATTTACTGTTTCTTCAACAATTACTAATAAGGTATTATTTTGTTTAGTTTAAAAATGTTTGATGTATTGGTCTCTAGCAGGTATGATTAAAAAACGTAAAGTTTTGATCTGTACACTCAATCTGTAGCTGGCATTGAACATAACATTGAGGAAAATTTTCTAATTGTTGTTCATGACCCAACACAATCAACACAATCTTGAATTTTCTAGTCTAACAAACTTCTTGACCTAATTTATTACGGCTACAACCATATTTATTGTCTAAAAAGACTTAAAAAAGTAGTCATTTTTCAATTTTTGCTTTAGAAAAAAGTTTTCAAATAACTAACCTTTTTGAATATTTTCTAAATGGTTTAGGCCTGGTGTGAATGACCAATTTTGAAAACATTCCAATATAGTATAAAACTTTAAAAAATTCCCAAAAAAACCAAGCAAATTAGATAGTAATTTTATGTTTTCTGTAATCATGCCACTTTGTTGTTTTGTTCTATGCTTTTGTAATGAATACATTGTTTTGAAGCCATGCAGTTATTAAGGTTAGTATTAACAATACTATTGTTAAAAAGCTTTCTATTAATGACAAGTATGCTATGCTTTTTATATATTATATTTTATATATATCGTCATAATTTTTTTTTTTTAATATTTGAACTTGTGAAAAGGAAATGACTGGAGCCTCGGCTCCTTCCTTGGCTAAACCGTCATAAGTGCTTTGTATCTGTATTTTCAGTGTTGTTTGGGATGACAAAAGTGACACTTTTGGTATTTTTTTAAAATGATGATTTGCATTCAAATTTCAATTTCATTAGTACAAAATAAACACGTTTAAAGTAAACAGCCATTTTGTAAAAGTGTTATTTCAATTTTTAAACAATTAATGATAGATCTTTTTTAAAATAGCTTAGCTTTGGATATAGCAATTATGTCATCTTTTTTTTTTAAATGATTACACTTTGTAACTGTTCTGTGTAAGATAGAACGTAAATCTCTTCTTTCATAGTTTTAACTTTAGTTATTACTTTATCAATATTGTGTTTTAAAAAATACAAAAGTAAAAGTAAGCAACCTCGTACACAACCTAGTACACAACCTACTAAAATTAACAGGACCAGTACAAAACCTACTAAAATTAACAGGACAACTGCAATGTTCTTTTAAATTTTTATTAAATTAATCAAAAAGTAAAACAACTGATCTCAAACAGTCACTATATAATTTTCTACTCGTAGATTTAATCCATGTAACATTAAACCAGGTAACTATTTTATTTTGCAATTACATAGCATTTTTAATGCTTTTTCAGGAAGTCCACAGTTCCTTTCCTTTTTATGGTCATAATATCTGTAAACAATTTCTTCACTAATTTTCTTATCGTAAAACATTTTGTTTGATGACCACTCAGCTATAATTTTAGGTATTTTAAGTGAAACTGCATTGAAAATAACTGCTGTTCAATTTATTTCAGTTTTTCACAATTTATAATATCAGTTTATTTTTTAGCTTTAAATAACATAAATACATTTACATTTTGTTTTGCAATTTCTCAAAAGTACCACATAAGTCTCTTTTTCTATCTTATTTAATTATTTACTTTTTTAATCATGATGAATTAGGAACAAATAACAGCAGCGACAGAAATGTTTAGTTTTTTTTTAATAACAAAGTTACCATCTTTACTTTTTTCCCTATATCAAATTAATTTCGAGACCAGGCCTCTGAAATGAATTTGGCTAATGCTGAGTTTTATCAATTTGCGACTATGATGATATTATTACGTATAAGATACTTTTTATAATTATAAAGGTGCTCCATAAAAAATGGTCTTTCGCAGAGCATATCATAAGGAAGCTTCCATCCTTTTTAATATAACAAAATTAAATAGAATTTTGCTTTTGTCACTTTTTTTGACAAAAGCAAAATTCAAATTTTAAATCTCTTGATTCTGAAGCCATTATTTAACTGTTTATTTAAGCCGTTATTAATTTAACTAATGCGCCACTCTAATATCAAACTCTTTGCATTTAGTTATAGTTGTTGTTAGATCTGCAAATGCGTGGGTTATATCTGAAAAATTTTACTTGTAATGTTTCAATATAATTTTATATTTTATTTTGCAAGTTTTATATTTTATAACGAAGTGGTATTTAAAATTTAATAAATAACGAGAAAAAAGAGACAACCGCAATAGGCCCCTTAACTTTGTTGGCTTTATCCTGCCACAGCGCGAACAAAAACCGATAAAATACAAGTAGATAATAAGCGGGCTTTAATTTGTAGAAGAAATATGATACACTCATTGAGTTAATTTATTTGTAAAAAAAAAAAAAATGCACTCGTTATGAAAGAAATTACTTGAAAACAAAAATCATGCTTAGGTTTTCTACTGCAAATGATTAAAGTTGATAACTTTATTCATTTGCAGAAGTTTACACGACCCAAGAGCCATATCCCATAAATTTAATAAATTTTTTATTGGGATAGGTCCTTCCCTATCCAAAATAAAAAATTTTTTAAATTTATGGGATATGGAATGCCGTCGATATGGAATCAAATAAGATTCCATATCGACGGCTTCCTTGAATGGTTTCCTCGTACCTGAGGATAATTGCATTTGTTCTGATAAGTCAGAATTTGTTCTGATAATCAGAATTATCTTTTGAGGAACTTGAAGTAGCTTTGAATTCTTTGAAAAGAAACAAATCAACAGGAGAAGATGAAATTAATGGAAATATAATTATAGACTGTTTCGGTATATTAAAACATATTCTTTTTAAAGCTTTTAAAGCTTCTATTAATCAAGGAATATTCCCAGCACAACTAAAAGTTGCTAAAGTTACTCCTATCTTTCAAGAGGGTGACAGATCAAATATTAGCAACTATCGTCCCATCTCTGTTCGGTATTTTCAAAAATTTTGGAAAAAATAATGTCTAATAAAATATACAAACATCTCAACAAAAATAACTTACTATATAGCAAACAATTCGACTTTAAAAAAGGTACCTCAACAGAGCATGCAATAATCCAGTTTGTGTATGAAATTTCAAAATCTTTTAAAAAATCACAGTACTTGTTAGGTACCTTCATTGACCTGTCAAAAGCTTTCGACACAGTGAATCATTATATTTTACTACAAAATGTTAAATATTATGAAACTAAAGGCTTTGAAATGATTTAGAAGCTACTTAACAAAGAGGAGACAATTTGTAATTAGTAACGACGGTTATCAAAATAATTACCTTGATACCGTATGCGGTGCTCCCTAAGGTTCAATCCTCAGAACCTTTCTTTTCTTGATATATATAAATGATTTGAATAAAGTTTCTAACCTTATAAGTATCGTGTACGCAGATGATGCCACTCTATTCATCTCAAGCAGTAATATATATGAACTCTTTACCACTATGAATAAAAATTAAAACATATATCAAACTGGATTAAATGTAATAAGCTAACTTTAAATTTTAATAAAACTAAATGGACTCTATTCCGTTCGTATGCAAAAAACGATTTTAATCAACAAACTTGCCGCAACTTTATATAGACGAAATTGAAATAAAAAACGATTCCGTTACAAAATTCTTAGGCGTTGATCTCAATGAAAACATCTCCTGGAATCAACACATTAATTATGTATGTGCTAAAATTTCAAAAAATCTTGGGATTTTATAGCCGTGGCGCAGTGGTAGCGCACTTGCTTCAGAAACGTAAGATCCGTGGTTCAAACCCCACCTCTGGGCAAGTTTTGCGACATCGGTTGGGAAGGAGGCGTG